GAGGAAAAAAAAAAAAAGCCCCCGCTATAAACATTCAAGCTGCTTTTCAGAAGTCTCCCAATGGTGTGAGTTTGCCTGCACTGGTCCGCAGCTCTGTGTCTCAGTCACAGACTTGCAGCCTGGAATGGAGTCCTGCATCACAGCCCAGTGCGAGGTCTCATCTATACCTCCCATGTGTTAATATTTAACAGCTCTGCATCAGTATCTCTTCAAACCTGCATGCAGAATGAGGTAATCAAGAATTCATTTTAAGGCTGATCTGATAGACAGACGCAGGAGCCAGGAGTTCGATCCCCACCTGCCATGCTGGTCCCTTTCCCCAGGTGCACTGAGATGGTGACTGAGACTGGGCATGGTGGCATGTGCCTATAATCCCAGTGCTTGGGAGACTGAAAAACAGGAGGATCGCTACTGTGTAGTGAGACCCTGTAGACCCTGAACTAAAATATAAAAATTCATTTTAAATAAATACCACTCGGGTTCAAACCGAAACACCAGCCATGTGTTCTGCTGTCCCCTGCAGTGTGGTGTAGCACCAGGCGGGTGCCTGACTCAGCTCCCCTGACCTTGAGGCTTACTAATGCTTCATTCCAGAGTTCAGGGCTGACCTGGGCACGGCAAGGGACATCCTGGCTACCAGAAGCTGCTATGGCCTGAATGTTCCTGCAAGTTCATCCATTGAACTCCCATGTGAGGACCTTAGAATTCGGGCCTCTGGGGGGTACATGGTCCTGTATAACTGCAAGCCATTGATAGACTCTTAGCAAAGCTCCAGTGTTCTCTCTCCCCTGTGCCAGTGAGGTGACTGTGGAAAGCCGGTAGTCTAGAAACCAGGAAGCCAGGCCTCATCAGAGGCTATGCCCACACAGCGTCTTGAACTTTGCAACCTCCACAGCGGGAGAAATAGGTCTCCTGTTTATAAATTCTGGGGTCTACAGTAGTTTGAGCAGCTGGCACAGATGAGACAGAAGTCATCACTTTTTTTTTTTTTTTTTTTCTGGAACCAGGGATTGAACTCAGACCCTTGCACTTGCTAGGGAAGTGCTTATTCCACTGAGCCATCTCCCCAGCCCCTAATCATCACTTTTGAGCTGCGACTTATGAGTACGGGTCACTCCAGTTTTATCACCAAGGAAATTGATTGTTCTGTAGAACCTAAAATCCCCTTCAATTGCAGAAGATTTTGCAAAACTGAGTCACATGTGAGATAGTTAGCAAGCTGAAGCTTGCTAAAATTTTGAAAAAAAAAATCAAATGAACTGGGGGCCGGGGAGATGGCTCAGTAGAATGAGCACTTAGCCTGGAAGCTCAAGGCCCTGAGTTCAATCCCTAGTTCTGCCAAAAAAAAAAAAAAAAAAAGTGAAATAAAATAAAATGAACTGGGAAAGTGGGTCAGTACAAAGCTGTTTGTAGCTCACACAAGCTTCCTGGATTCAATCCTCATGCCATGCAAAAAGAGAAGAACAAGAAAGTATAGAGGGAAGGAAGTATAGAGGGAAGGAAGTATAGAGGGAAGGAAGTATAGAGGGAAAGAAGAGAAACAAAGAAAAGATATCAACAGGCCATCAGCAGATGCAATACAGTATCAGGGTAAGTATTTTTAGAGGTGAAATTTCATGTTGAAACACGCACAGTACCACTTCTCAGATAAGCAGGTCCAAAGTTCACGTCCCTTGGGGCTCCCTTGACCTGTGCCAAGCGTTCACTAGCAACTAGGATCATTTCAAAATCCTGAGGTGTGTGTGACTCGTCAGAACAGTCAGCCGGGCCCCATCTCTGCCCGCCCCCAGCACCTGAGTCCACGGCTCCTCCCAGCCCAGGGCAGAGCCATCCCTTCCCCAGGACCGCACGGGAGGGAGTTGCAGGACAGGGCAGCTGCACCATGAACATCATCTTGGACCTCCTCGTGCTCCTGCTCATCATCATCTACTCCTACCTGGAGTCCTTAGTGAAGCTTTTCATCCCCCGGAGGAGGAAGTCTGTGGCTGGGGAGATCGTCCTCATCACTGGAGCTGGGCATGGAATCGGCAGGCTGACTGCCTACGAATTCGCAAAACGGAAAAGCAGGCTGGTTCTGTGGGATATTAACAAGGTAATGAGCACATCTGATGATCCTGGCAGGTCACAGAGTACACGCACTGCTTTAAATTACTCGATTTAGCAGCTACTTATCTTTTTGTGGCTTTGTTTCAAAGTTTGACCCAGTCTCTGGAGTCTTATTAATATATGCAGGTTGGAGGGTGGGCACATACCTGAGATGGAATGGTGGCTTTTATGCCTTTGTGTGCAGGTTTATGTTGAAAGATGCAGAGCCAGGCTCTTTGCAAGCTGCTTAAATCAGGCAAGTTGCATAATTCCTCTCAGCCTGTTTTCTTATCTCTGAAATGGGGGTGATAACTCCTGTGTTAGCAAGAACGTCTGAGGTTGGTAAGTGATAGGTAAGGGCCAAATCTGGCCAGTGAATAGTCATTAGCTCACTAGAGCTAAGAATGATTTTTAAATGGTTATCAAAACAAAAATCATAGAAACAAAGTATATGGGATAGGAAGCCCCAGAACTCATGCCCCGCTAGGGCAGTCTTTCACAGTCACTGTTCTCGTCCACTGCTGTGTCTCTCCCTGGAGACCTGTGATCCTGTGATGTTGGCAGCAGTTGCTGGGTGTCCACAGGTTTGGGCTGCTCCTCCCACACAGCGAGTCCCAGCTCAGAGAGAAGGCTCTGCTGGCTACCTCCTTCTTCACTGAAACTCCTCTCTTCACTGTCCCCATGGGGAGTGCTGGGGGCTCAGATGTCCCTTAGGAGAGCCACAACAGCTGGAAGCCATCTTGGAGAGCAGCCCTCTGAGCTCAAAGCTCAGAACAACTACTGGATTCATCTAGTGGCTGCCAGCTGATGTCAAGCCCACAGAACATGTGCTTACTGCTGCAGGCTGAACGGGTCTGGTCTCAGCCTAAGGGCCCAAATCCAGGCTGAACTTCAGGGGAAATAAAGGTGCAGGTTCCCTGAGATTATCCAGTACCCCACCACAAGGCTATTGCTGACTTGATAAGACAAAGCCACGTAGCTCTGGGCTCTGTGTCCACACGCTGTCTACCAGTGACAGCAGAGATAAATCTGGGAGCAAACTTTTTCTCTTTTTCCTCTCTGTCTTGTCTTTTTCTTTTTCATGGTTGTTGCTTTGTTTTTGTATTTGTTTCTCTTTCATTGTTTGATCTAGTTTTTATATGAGTGTGAACATAGTTTCTAGCTTCTTTGTGGGTGTTGTTCTCTTGGCCTACTAAGGGGGCCCAGAGGAGATTCTCACAGGTCAGGTCCCACAGCTAAAAAACACACGTGTGCAAGGCAGCAGCAACCACAGCAGGCAGCATGGAGCAAAGAAGAGCACCAGAGAGAGAGCCACCTGCATCTTTATTGTGTAATTCTTATACAGGTTATCTCATGTGTACATTTTTACGTAGTGTATAAGCAGCACATGAATGTTTACCTATGGTAAGTCATGGTTACATAACTGTATCCCACTGTGCAACTGCCCTAGACAAGTGGGGACACATCCTCAGATGTCCTTAGACACCTCTGAGCTTTGAAACAACCTGAATGTTTTGCCACATTTCTGGTGTTTGTTTGTTTGTTTGTTTGTTTGTTTTTGGTGGTACCAGGGATTAAACTCAGGACCTTGAGCTTGCCAGGCAAGCACTTATTCTACTCAGCTAGTTCCCCACCTCCACATTTCTGTTCTATTATTCCTATTATTTCTTCCTTCTCTTTTTCCTGCCTTCTGCATCAGATTCCCAACATTTGTGTTGTCCCTCTTTGTCCTCCAGCCTTCCTTCTAGTCTCATCCTCTTCTTTTATTCCTCTATTTTTCCCCTAATGCCTTTTGTATTTTCTTCTTTGAGGGTAAAATTGACATCTTAAGGACTTATTTACTAAGTATGATTTTCTGGTTTGTTTATTATTATTATTATTATTATTATTATTATTATTATTATTATTTTGCGGTACTGAAGATTGAACTCAGAATCGTGCGCTTGCCAGGCAAGTACTTATTCTACTGAGCTATCTCCCTGGCCCTTTTTATTTTGTTGTATAAGCACAAATATAGTTCATATGGTTAAATGTTCATATGACAAATTAATGGTAACCTCAGGTTGTCATGTTCTAGGCTGTGATTATTGTTACTTTATTGCTGATGATACCACTTTAGCCAAAGTGACATAATTGTTCTGAGCAGCTATTCCTCCTGGTATTCCAAGATTAAGATGACTAAGGGTCATAGAAAATACTGTGGTGCACAGTGCCAAAGAAACAGGGGCTGTGCCAAGCAGGTAGCAACTTCTCATCCCCAAGTAATTTAAGACAAAGGATCTTGCAACACACTCAAAATCCAAAAACCAGCTACACCTGGAAGACACCTTGGAGAAGTAGTCATTTCCTAAGGGTTCTAAATAGTAGCAATAAAACATAGGCAATCTACAAGCATTAGCATAGGAATTAAGCTAATAAACAATGAGAAGATACTTAATTAAGATGCAATCCCAGACACCCAACTCACCAAAGGCAAACCCAGGGGACAATGAGGTAGGACAATCTGAAAGCCACCCATTTGGCCTCTCTGAAGTGGTAACAACAAAGCAAAAGAATAAGGCTGTAGAAAAAAAAACAAACAAGAAATAACTTCTCAGATAACTACAGAGATGGTGATCACAATGAAAATCAGGTTTGGTGACTATAGAGTGATACAGGCACAAAGTTAGAGGAGCCTAAGAAAGTTATGGAAACTATGAGTGCCCAACATAGGAAAGAAATGTAATTCATAAAACAGATTCAATCAGATATCGAGGAGGATAAAAATTCCACTGAAGATATCCACAGCAGAAAGAGCCAATGTGAGGACAGCTTCTCATATATAGAAGACAGACTTGTAGTTAGAAATCAAGAAAACAAAGATTTCCTAAAAATAGCAGGTGTGGGCCAGTGAGATAGCTCAGTGAACTAAAGTGTCTGCTTAGGCAAATTTAGGCAGGCACAGGGACCCCAGCACCACATGCCGGGCTTTGCCAGCCAGAGTCTGGGCATAGTGGCATACGTCTGTAATCCCAGTGCTGGGGAGACTGAAAGCAGCAGGATCACCATGAGTCTAAGCTGCATAGTAAGACCCTACAACAACCAAATATATTTTTAAAAAATAACAAGTGACTATGAGAAATCAATTTAGCAGCTTCTAGATGATGCAAAGAGAAATAACATAAGTTTAATTGGGGTCGATGAAAAAAATAAGGACATAGCATATATATACTGTTCATAGACATCATGGAAGAAAACTTCCCTGGCAGGAAAGATGAATTTGACATACAGTTAAGTGAGGAATATAGAACTCAAATTACCCATGATCAAAAAAAGTCTATAGGGCCGGGGAGATAGCTCAGTAGAATAAGTGCCAGCCTGGCAAGTACAAGGTCCTGAGTTCAATCCCCAGTACCAAAAAAAAAAAAAGGTCTATAGCCAGGAATATCATCATCAGGATTTCAGAAATTCAATGCGAAAATAGAATCTTAAACGCCATTAGGGCAAAGAAACAAATAACCTATCAAGCAAAGCCCATCAGAATGATAGATGACTTTTTAGCACAAACCCTCAAGTCTAGCAGAGCTTGAAGTATTGTAGGCTCTAAAGGGAAACTATAGAGAGCTTTTCCTGGTCCTTGTCTTGGTCTGGAAAGTTTATATTTGTAATCCTATGAATAAGTTACTGAAATCACATCAAGTTAATTCCCATCTACCACACACAGTACAACGCACAGTGAGAATAAGTACACTAAGATATATTTATAATTTCGGGAAGTCAAGGGGTCCTAAGTCCAGCCATGATGACAGCTATCTGGAACAAAGGCCTTCATCCAAGGCCAAACCCAGGTTTGATTCATTCATGAAGAAAGGAGAAGCCTAAGGATGAGTGACTGTGCGAAGAGCAGGAAGTTAGCTGAGTGCCATGAGGAGGGCAGGGCATGAGCCTGCATTCACCCCTGCAATATGCAGAGAGAAGGGTATTCAGAAAGAGTAATCTGCATTGCACAATTGAGATAGTATCTGATGTTTGGGGGTCAGTGCTTTAACTCTGATGTGTAATGGTTCAAGCCCCAGGAGGTCGAAGTCTCTATTATAAGGCTCAATCCCAGCAACAGTGTGGAGCATTGGCTCTTCTTCATTTTCCACCTGACTCACACTAGGAAGCAGCAGCTAGGGGGTCAAGGGAAACACCCCTGCCATCTTCAAAGAGTACCACCAGCACCTGGCTAGACGGCTAGACCAATAGGCATTGCTTAAAGTCAATTTGATACCAAAAAAAAAAAAAAAAAGAGGAAAAAAGGGGCTAGGGAGATGACTTAGTAGAATAAGTGCTTGCCTGGCAAGCACAAGAACATGAGTTCAATCCCTGGTTTCACCAATAAATAAATAAACAAATAAATAAATAAATAAATAAATAAAAAGTCAATTGAAGGGATAAGGAAAAGTCCTAGCCAGCTCTGTACATATCAATACATGGAATTAGGATCAGGCTCAACCAAAATGAAGATAATTGTTCTTTTATGGAGAGCCACCCAGGTGGTCCTCCACAGGAAGCAAACTCCCACCCAGATTGATGTACCCTCACAACTATCTTTCAAAGTTGATAGAGACACAAGATACAGAACACCTGAAGAAATTTATGCCCACCAAACCTGCACTCCAAAATGTTCAGAAGGACATTCTAGAAAGATTTTTTTTTTTTTTTTGGCTGACTCAGTATGCCTTCAGGGCAGATCTGGCAAGCTTGAGGATCTGGGGATCAAACCACAGTATCCTGAGCCTGACTGCTTTGTTTAAGCAATCACTTAAAGAGCTGAGCTAATGGGCAGGCCCCCATCCAGAAAGAGATAACAAGAACTACAACTTCATGATGCTCAGCAGAAGGAATCCACTAGGCAAGGCAAGCAATTAAACAGAGGGAGGAAAAAAACAGAGAGCCAAAAGCAGTTAAATAATATGACAAGGATAAGTCAATACATATTACTTATAAGCATCAATGTTAATGTCTCAGTCCACCAATTAAAAAGCACAGCTGGCAGAATGGTCCAAGAAGCAACAATATGCTGCATACATGATAAACATTTAATTTCCTTTAAAAAAAACCATGTGATTTTAATACAAATTCATACACTGTAAGTTAAGTAAGGGAAAACAATACTCTGTGAGACAGGAATTCAGAAAAAAAAAGGAGTAGTTATTTTATTTGTAAAGTGAATTTCAAGCCAAGACTAAGAGAAACAAAGAAGGTCCCTACAGCCTTGTAAAGGGAACAATACAAGAGGAGATGATAACAATCATATATATATATATATATATATATATATATATATATATATGCAACAAATATCAGTGCACCCAACTATAAAAAAAAATTAACAGACATGAAAAAAAAATCAAATAAGTACTAATACCATTGTATTAAGGAATCTCAGTACCCCTTGTCAAAAATCACAGGTCAACTACAAAATCAGCAGTGAAATATTAGAAGTGAACCAAACTTTTGAACAGATGGACTTAGTGAATGTCTACAGTGTTCCACCCCACATTAGAATACACATTCTTCTCAGATGCGCATGGGGCATTTTTTCAAGTAGCCCACATACTAGCTCCTAGAACATGTTTAAGTAAATGCAAAGGAATTGAAGTTATCCCATGCACATTATCGAACCATAGGGCAATGAAATTGGAAATCAGTGGCAAAAGAAACCACAAGAACTTTGTAAACATGTGGAAATTAAATAGCAACCTCCTAAACAACCAATGGGTCCCAAATGAAGTTAAAGAAAAATTAAACAGTTTCTACAATTAAGTCATGATAAAAATCCAACATACTAGAATTTATGGGACACAATCAAAGAAGACTTATGAGGGAAATTTATTTATTTATTTTTTTATGAGGGAAATTTATAGCAGTGAATATCCATATCAGGAAAACAGAGCAAGTGCAAATAAGCAAATTAATAGTGCATCTCAAATTTCTAGAAAAAAAAGAGCTTGCTAAGCCAAAAGCTCATGTGAGGGAAGAAATTATAACGATCAGCCACATTGTCAGACTATAAAAGTAACCTGCCTGTGAGAAACAGCCTCCTGGGCAGCCTCCAGGCCAAGGTAAAATGCTGGGAAAACAATAATGGAAGAGCTTTCTTTGCTTTTTCTTTCATGCTCATCTGAGCACCACAGAAAGTCAGGTATAATCCAATAACAGGAGAGGCAAGCACTCCCTCTCAGGAAATTGTCTTACACCTAAGGAGGCATTTTAGATAGCTTTAAAAAAAAAAAATCACTCCACCAGTGTCTGCTTCCTCTGCTTTCCTGAAATCTGGTTTTCTCAATGACAGCCAGGTGTTGAGGAAACAGCAGCTGAATGCAGGAAGCTTGGGGCCACGGTGCATGCATATGTGGTGGACTGCAGCGACAGAGAGAAGATCTACAGCGTGGTGGCCCAGGTGAGACTTCCTGTCACCAGTTTCCTCAGAGGCTTTGTAGCTGGCCCACTCACAGGGAGCGTGAACAGCCACCAAGTGACCAGCCGCCTGCTTTATTTTTTCCCACTACCTGCTTTTAACTAGACTTGAGCCTTTCAACAAAATAGCAATGTGATCAAAGCATTCATATGTCTTTTCCTTTGTATGGGATCTACTGAGCTCTGTTCTTATTTGTACCTTGTTTTCAGCCAGCGTTGTTCTGATTAGCAGTTTAGCAGTACCCCAGAGAGACTGGCAATCCATTTATCACCAGGCAAAATGGGTTACTTTCTAGTTTTTAGTCCTATTACTTTTTGTTTTTTAAATTTTTATTTATTTATGTGTGTGTGTGTGTGTGTGTGTGTGTGTGTGTGTGTGTGGCCAGCTCAGCCCACCAGGGGGCGCGGCTGGCTGGCATGTGGTGCTGGGGGATTGAACCACGGTCCCTGTGCTTTGCTAAGCCTGTTCTAAGTAGGTGCTTTAGACCACTGAGCCATCTCACCAGCCCCTAGTCCTACTACTTTTGCAGTCATCTTTTCACCCCAATTCATTCCTTTGCGAGGCTTTATTTATTTTGATGTTTATCTCGTCGTCTGTAGAAATGTAATGTCAATAATTATTATAACAACTTTTAAAAGAGTGTACATCAAGTACTCACAGTGAGTCAAGCAATCCGACACACCATTGTGTTCTTTAACTCAGTTCAGTGATTCTATTAATCTCATTTTGTAGGGCAAGTAAATTAAGGATCAGAATGTCAAGCCAGACAAAGATCACGTAACTCACATGTGGTGGAACCAGGATTATTCAATGAGTATTTTGAAATGATTTGGTCAAAACTTATTTATCAATTTAGCAACACAATGTTTTGTTACTATATACTTGTACGTAATGATCACATTCATCATGGGAAATTAATACATGAACATATATTACATGTACATCCCTTCCTTTCCACCCCTTTTTCTGTCTTTTCTTTTTGCTAGTATCAGATTTATGTATTTATTTATTTATAAGTCTTTGCCAAGTTAATTATCATAAACATAGATTAACAGCCAGACAACAGGCAAAAAAAAGTATAAAATACATAAGATAATTAGACTAAACCAAGATGTGCTTTTAGATTCCTTGGCCATGCTGAATTAAAATAATTTTCTCTTTTTTCTATATTCTCTATCTTTTATTTTGCACTTTATCCATATTTTTGGTTTCTCACGTAAGAGAAACCATGCAAGAAAACTAAATTTTTTTTAATGTATTTGGTACAGAGTCTCATTATGCAGCTTGGACTTGTAGTGATCCTCCAGTTTTCAGCCTCCCCTGTGCTGGGATTATAGGCATGCTCATTCTCATTGGCTGGCTCAGCATGCCGAGGGGCAGGGCTGGCACCAGTGCAGCATGTGGTGCCTGGGATCAAACCCCCATCCCTATGCTTGCCTAAACAGGAGCTTAATCCACTGAGTTATTTTGCCAGCCCAATAGTTAAACTTGTATGTATGATTTATTTCACTTAACATTATGGTCTCAATGTACATCCATTTTTTTGTACAAATGGTTGAAGTTTCTTTTTCCTTTCTTTCTTTTTTTTTTTTCCTTCGGCTGGCTCAGCCCACCCTGGGGGCAGGGCTGGTGCGGCATGTGGTGCCAGGGATCAAACCACTGTCCCTGCACACTTGCCTAAGCAGGCACTTTAGACCGCTGAGTGCCCACTGGTCCTAAAGTTTCTTTTTGTATCAACCACAAATACCAATTTTACTTCATTGATAAGCATTCAAAATTCATGATGTGTAAGTCTTGACATCTACACATTAAAAACAAGTGAGTCCTCTCGGGTAGGTGGATGTTCAAGAAGAAAGGGGTGGTAAATGAAAGCAAGAGACAGGAAAAGGAATATTGTGGGACTGTCCTGCTTCAAGG